ATTCAAATCACACAGATGCACCTAAGAATTACATCTGTCACAGATATAGTGGCTTCCTTTATATTTTTTTTTCTATTTAGACTGCAGTTACCTGTTTTTATTAGACTGCCTGTTTGTATAATAATTCGAGGCACCATAGCAACTCTTTAGTTGCACATATAACTGTATTCCCAACGTGTATTCATTTTCCATCATCAAATTCACGTGTTTATGAAAACATCATCGTCACAAGTCATGTTTGATTTGTTTATTCGAGCGGTAAACTTTCATAGAGTCGTTAGCTTTTATTCAGCCTACAACAACTTCAGAAAACACAGAAGAGGTTAAAAAAAACAATGTTGCCAGAAGCTTCTGATACCAGGAAGCATTCACCAGCCCACCTTTGGGACCCCGACCCAGTCACTGATAACCGTGTATTAACCATCCTTTATTCTCAGACAGCCGGACGCCACAACCAATCAGGCAGTTTCATCTTTCCCCACATCTCCCTGAGACAATTACCTCCAATTTTACTTCAATAACACTCCCCCTTCTCTGTCAGTAAACAATCAAATCGCTCCATTGTTGAGGGTAATTGGATCTCTTTAAATCAAATCAGCCATTATGGCCCTGATGAAGCATGCCCTGCTCAGCGGGAGTTAGCGACACATGAGGGAATGCAGCACAGGAATACATTACCAGCTCTGCCTCCCAGGTGAAGATAGCTATATTGGAGGAGTTGTGTAATACAGGTTTATTAGACTGTGCCGTGATCAGCACAGGGCTTGTTTCCCTCCTTGAGGACATGTTCGGGGTCTAGCTCACATTTCAGCGACAAAGAAAGTAGATATAAGAGTAGAGGGGAGATTGCACACTAGCATGTAGAGGTGCCACATTAGGGTTTTAAAATAGAATGAGTCACAACCCACTCGTAAAAAAAAAAATCCATCTTAATCCTCTCCTCAGCTCGATTATTTCTTCCGTGTGCGTGCACTTATGATCACTGTGAGATTACATGAAATATTGCTATATAAAGTTTCTGGCTTTGACATTCAGTTTGGCTTCTGGTTGTTTGTACTACAATATGGTGAGTTATTAAACCCATTTGTATCTGTACTCTTTCTAACCATTTCTAATTATCCCTCGTTTAAATACGTTAGACTTACGAGAGATGGATTGTATACTTAGTAGTAAGTAAACTCCAGCTTCGCTTTAACAAGCGGTATCTCCAGCAGGGTAATGAGCACATCAAAAGATTAAGCTATAAAATGTGTTGAATTTTGTACTGACATTAGGAAAGTGCAGCAACTCCCTCTCATTTATATTAATCTATAATTCATCAATAAGCTTCTTGCAGGCTCTCGGTATCATATGTCTCTGTAGGAAAAAGGCCAGATTGTATTTGGCTAAAGTGGCGTCTGAGCGTAGCTTTGGTTTAATTTAGGCTCTGCGATTCATTTCCTCATGCAATATTAATATTTGTTTTATGATAAATGCTGTGAGCTGATAAAAACACAATAAAGCTCCCCAGAGACAAAACATTATCTTGTAAAAATTGGATTCAAAATATAATATGAATAATGTCTTATATATTTCACACCAAAACAGGTAACTTGGAAAAATCCTACAAAAACAGAATAAAGAAGTCAAAAACCGAAGCAAACAAACGGAAAGCCAGATAATGAGCGTCGTCTCGTTTGAGATGAGATGCGTATTGGTGTGTATGCTTATCTGTACGCGTACGTGTCGTCTTGGTTTGTTGGGTGTGTTTGTGTGTATGGAGGATTTCTGTCTCAGCTCTTACTGATTATCGGGATGCAGCCTCTTCCTCTAACAAGACTGTTATTAGAAGGGTTGGGAATAACGAGGACCCATCCGTTTGATTCTTCAGCATTGCATCCGTCTCAGCGCAATGAATATGTAAGCAAAAACATTTGCTTTCTTTCATGAGTTTCTATGTCCTTGAGACATTACTTCTGATTGTCTCCATCTTCTACCCTTCCTCTTACAACCTCTTTCCCTCTCTCATTCCTTATAATCTGCTCACTCACACGTGGTCATGAATGCAGTTTTGGTGAGACTAAGAAGAACACACCTGTGTATGCAAACATGCACACAAGCAGGTGCACGCTCAGAATATGCAAGCATATTTAGGCACATGCTGATGGCATCTTATCAGCACTTCTGTCTATAGGCAGAAGATATTTAGATTAATAGACTCAGATATGCTCTCATTTTGTCATTACTGTTATTACCTGCAGTCAGTCACTTGATAAATTAGTCACTAACTTTATCATACAGTCAGTCACTCAAGGAGTAAATTATCTGTCTGTCAGACAGTGAGTAAATAAGTCATGCAGTCAGGCAGTAAATAATTGAGTCACTCACTCAGAATTTAGTCAGATCATTAAATAAAGCAATTCGCCAGCAAATTAATCAATCATCAGCAAGCAAATCAGTCAAGAATTAGTCTGAGTGATTCAAGTCAGTCAAATAATGAGTCTTCATCTTGGAATGTAGCTTAACTGTGTCTCCACAGCCAAAAGACAGTGACCACTTAACCTCGGTTCAGCCTGCCGGCCTGTGATAACACTTGGCCAATTAACTCTCAACTCTATGCGTACAGATGGATCTGTGTGTGTGTGTTTGTGTGTGCGTGCGTGCGTGTGTGTGTGTGTGTGTAAGAGAAAGAGAGTGAGAATATTAAATAAACAGGTGCTTATATAATGCCTTTCTACTCACTTTTATCCACACTAAAGTACTTTTAGCTGACACACACTCACAATTCAGTCGATGCGTCTCAGGGTTCAGTGCCTTGCTCAAGGATACTTTGATACATGGACAGAAGAAGCCGGGGTTCAATCCACCAACGTCCTGACTGCAGAGAACCAACTCTACCACCTGAGCCCCACCCACCCAGCTCTGTGTGTATTTTAAGCATCGTCATTCGCTGCCTTTGTGAAATCAGAAGTGTGTGACGGAAATGCTTGTTGTGTAAAATCATCATTACTCTTTTTGCACGTGACTGCTCCCTTACAATATCCTGTGCTACGTTATTCTAGGATCTCTCTTTTGTCCGTGTTGCTTTGGTGTTTCAATCCTTCCCAGATCTCGACGCCTTGTTAGACATAATATGAGTGAGGGATTTACCGTGAGGCTGTAGGGCCTGCGTGGATATCACTGTGATGCATTGGTCTGGGGAAATCATTCAGTGTAATGTGGAAGAATGTTTGATAAATAGCAAATAAAGAAAAGACGGGAGATGAGAAAAAGATGTTAGGTTCAGACTTTGCTCTAACTTAATTCCACAACTGAAGAAACCAATCTCTTTGCTGTTATAATTTTTCATCTTTTTTACAGTGAAATTTAATAAATTCAAAACAGAACCACAGATCTGCAAAACACTGGACCTCTGATACAAAGTACTGAGTATTTAGTAGCTTTATACTGTAGCTTTACTTAAAATGAGTTGTTTAGAAGCTTTTTTTCCCAAAACAAAAACCACTTGGTCAAATCCAAAAGCACTTTATTGCAAATTGAGTATTTTGGCCTGAGTTTCCTCTGCTGCCAGAGAGGATGTAATGGCGCACTTGAAGATGATTCAACAGTTGAGTTACGCACTAACAGTAGCACTTACTGTTTTCATCTGATCCAGCACCAGTGGGAGACATGCACTTTTATGAATTTTAAAGGGATGCATGAGTCACGTCGGGGAGCCGTTCATTATCGAACCTTGTATACAAAGAAAGTGGTGCGCATTGTCGCTTCCAGCAAAACACGTCATATAGGAGGTACGCACTGAGTCATCCGTGTGAAGATGGTCACTTGATTGAAGTGCACCTCTTTGTGAGTGCTGTGGAGCCAAAGGCTAATCCTCGTCTTTCTGATGGTTGACTTTGTTAAAAATTAACCACATTTCATCTTGTTCATTATTCAGTATTCACCCCTGTGTCCACGTTGATTGTTCTTTACATGAAACATGACCTGTGGGGTATGTCTCAGGGGTTCAGCCTGACTCAGGCGTTACTGATGGGTTTTGTGATGGTCAGTGCGTTTCCTACTTTTTGACTACTGCTCATGTTTGATTCATGCCCACCACCACCTTAGTCAGCACAATCACTCCTCATCTGTTCAATCCCTCAGCTTCTCGTCCTCATCACTTATTTGCTCTGATAACTTTGGATCTCTGATATTGGCTGTGATATTGTCCACAGTCATGTTAATATTTCGCTCCGCGGTGACTTTCTGAATGGAAGATTCAGGAATTATTATCGACATTCGAATGCACGTCATCGAACATTTCTCATTTAAACGATTTCATTCATTCACCTCTCGAGTGTCTCCGTTGTATAAAAGATCCAAGGTTTGATTCCAGTAGGAGACACAAATCTCTTTGGGGTTGTGTTAAGTAAGGCATCCAGTGTAAAGACTCTGCCAAATCAAACATGGGCAGATACGTGCTGTGCAACCCCTTGTGAATAAGGAAGCAGCTGAAAGTAGCTATATCACTTCTCAAGTCTCTTTGAGCTAACTTGCACAAGAACGTTACTGACTTCCTCTGTGGGTGAGCTTAAATTACAAGTATTGTTGGCAGCCTAGATTTTAAATACTTTCATCCCCATCTGTTTCACTTTCTCATAATTCATGTGCTTCCTATCTGACATCTCCTGTACTTCTTAATTACACCCTCTTTCTGTAGCTTCGATCTCACCAGTTCTTTAAATGTCAGTTTTTTAATATGCCAGCCTTTTCCCCAAAATACCAAAAGTCGCCCCTTTTATTGGAATTTCAGCAGTCCTGAAATTAGTGTATGCATCAGAGGATTTGCAATGTGCCCTCTCAAGCTGAAGTTTTATGGAGTTTTTTTTTTTTTTTCTATTAAGTAGTTGCATGTGATATTAACTTAAAAAAAAATGTTGTCCACAAAATCCAGTGACTGTCACTCAGACTTGCTTCGAACAAAACTGTGTGAAGATTAAAAGTTAATAAGGATTCCTGTTCCTTTCTTTCATTTTCTCCAGGTAAATATGCAATGAGAGATTTGATCCATCGGTTACCAGGCAGCAGCAGCAGCAACAATAATGCAACCAGCAGTGGGACCTCTGGAACCACAGGCCCTCCCAGCAAGGCCATGTCAGATGACACAGTGACTGCCATCTGTTGCGCACTGCATGAAGTCATCACCAAAAACATGGAAAACGCAAAAGCTCTACGTGATGCCGGTGGCATCGAAAAACTCATTGGCATTGCCCGCAGCAAAGGAGACAAGTGAGTAACTACTAAATTTTAAAAATGAAAATTTACTTCTACCAAAAACCGCTTAGCAGTAAACACCGGTTTATTTTACACTATAAGATCTGCATCATGAAATGCTAAAATACCACATCTTCTACAGCACTTTAGATACACTATTATCTAAAGGACAATATGGGACTTATTGTATAAAATGTCTTTATAAAAACGTCCTTAATCTAAAACCTGAGCACCTGTTTAAATTTCTCTTAGCTGTTTGGGATTAGTTGAACCTGATAAATAGCAAAGATTTCTGAACAGAATACATATAACAATAATAAATAAATAAACTAAAATGATAAATACTTGAATGGAAATGATGTCCTGACATCGGGGGGATAGGTTTAGTTTACAGCATTCTTTAATGTACTGAAGTCCCGTGTAAGAGGCCTGGACATGACATGAAAAAGGCATCCATTTCCCTGAGACGCAAGCACCCTGGGGGAACAACTTCTCTATGAAAAAAAAAACAATGCTGTATTTTTTATTCAACAAATTCAAAAGTTCAGGAGTATAAAATCCTCAGGATGAACTAAGGCCAAAACAACAAACAAACAGAACTAAGCATCAACACAAACTCAGATGACCTGCCTGAAAGTAACAAATGAAAAACAATGGGCTTACCTCTCTAGTTTAGCAAAGCAGGAAAAAACAAATGGCAGCTCACCCCTTCTTACTCCTCTTCTTCTAGACACAGATGTAGCCACTTGAATGACAAAGGAAACAAATGATTCTCTGCAGTTGGCGGCCATCTTGGCTCCACACCAGTGTTGGTAAAGTTACTTGAAAAAAGTAATCAGTAACGTAATCAGTAAGTTTTAATCTTTTAACTTTATGCATCAAAGGAGCTTGCAAAGAAAAGCGTCTGGACTTCTTTAAGTTGCTTGAAGACGTTTCACCTCTCATCCGAGAAGCTTCTTCAGTTCTAAGGTCAAATGGTGGAGAGTCCCAGATATAACCTAGTGGGAGTTTCCCCCCACAGAGGGACAAAAGGACCCCCTGATGATCCTCTACCTAATCACAGCCGAGATGTGAAAATGGGTGTGGGTCCCAATCAGCCAGGGTTTCGGTTGAGCTCATTGTGAAACCTGGCCCCACCTTATCATGCGAATTCCTGAGGTCAGATGGCCCAGGATGTGAGTGGGCGTTAAGGCGTCTGGGGAGGGAACTCAAAACTGGATTATAGATGGCAGACAGTTGGTGTTGTAAACCACCGCCTCTGTTCAAAGATGACAAATACTACCATTAATACTTCATCCTTTGGTAGATGCTTGATTTAAAATGCATTACAGTAGTTTTCTTGAAATGGTTTATCACATGGAAGAAAACAATACTGTAAATATTTTTTTCTATAACATGGTACATTGTTTGATTTGTTCTAATGTTAATATTAATATCTAAAATTTGAATACTGTCATCAAAACATGCAAAAGTAAAAGATTTAGATTGCTCTGCATTCATTTTTTTCCTCAGGTTAACACAACTAGATCTTAATAACAAGTAGCTTAAATCCAAGAAGGCCTCAGTATTTTATTGTTACCTGTCACAACATCATTCAGTCATGATTCAATTTAGGTTGTCATTAACAACCAGCGCCTTAATGTAGCTACACATCCATCATTCATACATAACTGCGTCCGCCTTCCCTATCACCCTTCATCTGCAAAAAAGACAGCTGGAGAACAACAAGCAAGATGCAGCCAATATATATTTCCATGGGAGACTGGGCAGGGTGTTCTGCGTAGCTGCTATGGCAACCAGTAGGTCAGGAGTTGCTATGACACCAGAACGTTATCAGACGGAGGTCAAAGGATGATTTATTGTTATGGTAAGGGACTCGGCCTGTTTAGGGAACTGTGCTCAAGGGCACCATTCCCAAGAGGGATGAGGTACTGAAAGAAACCTCCACAAATGCAAATTTCATGGTGAGTGTAGTTATCTGCTAATAGCCAACATATCTTTATTTTCCTGGGGAAGGTAAGCTGAGAATAAATGTTAATTATCAGCAGTACCAATCATACAATTACACACTGGATTGGGAAAATACCCCTTACACTACAACTGTAAGAAGCACTTAATGGCTGTTTATAAACAGAAACAACTCCCAACTATTCCAAAAACGTCGATAAATGCTGGGTTAAAACCAACATGTCAAACAAATAGCAACATGATTTTTGCAGTCCCCAAATTTCATTTTCATTTTCTGAAGATTTGCATGTTGCATCTTGCAGCGACTTTTAATAAACCTGTGCTTTTCCTGCTCTTACATGTCAAAATGTCGGCTGTGTAATCATAATCTAGTAATGATCAAAATCATTTTACGATGCTGTTTAAATACCAGTACTCCCAGCGTTCGCTGAAGACTCTTTGCTGTAAAAAAAACAAAACAAAAAAACCACTGGAATTTAAATATTTTTTTCATGATCTAACATCGAGGTTCTGCAAGCTGTTTCCTGGGAATCACTGTAGTCATGTGTAACTAATGCTAATGCAGTGGTTTACTGGTGATACCATTACTACATTGTTCAGTCGTCCAAACTCTTCTTGCTCTTTTTAGTGTGAAATTGTAAAACTCAGAGTGAAGCTTGTTTTGACAACGATTTTTGTTTTGGACAAATTGAAAATGAACATCCTTCTGCTTCCCGCTGGAGCCATTAGGAGGGCAGGCCTTATGAACTGACTCTGACTAGAGTCATTTGTCATCTGAGTGGCAGAGGTGGGACCATTAGCATGGTAGAGTGGGTCATTTCAAACTCATCTGAAAACTGTTTGCGTGCAATGAAACTTTTTCTCTGTTGAAAAGAGCAATGGCGTTCTTATTCTTAAAGCTTTCACAAGTGCTCCTGGCCTGCACACTTTTTGTGCAGCTGGTAAAAAATAAGGGACAGCATGACTATGATGTGAAGTCAATTTGAAATAATCCTTCTCTCTCTGTCTCTATGCAGACACTCAGCAAAGGTGGTAAAGGCAGCTTCTCAAGTCCTCAGCAGTATGTGGCAGTACAGAGACCTGCGCTCTCTCTACAAGAAGGTAGGTGTCATTGAGAATAAGTACAGGTGCTTTTGTGGTGTGTTCATGATTTACAGAAAAGTAAAGTATACTTTAGATAACCTTATATCCTGTTATCATAGAAGTACAGCAAGTACAGACAAAATAATGTATTTGTGGAGTTAGCTGATTTGACATTGTTCAAGCATACTGTTAATATTTATTTAAAATATTGCAGTGGATGCAATAGGATGCACAAAAAAATGAAATGTGCAAATGTTCACAGTGTTAAGTGTAAGAAACCGTGCAGAGTGCAAGGATTTAAGTCTAGAAGAAATGTGTGTTATTATAGGTGTGCAGGTGTGTATGAGAGAGGAGGGGGACCAGGTGCAGAAAGAAAAAAGTTATTTAGGCAGAGGAGAAACATTTGCATCCATGGTGGGGTGGATCAGCCCTGATCTTTCCCATCTGCCTTGCGGTCCTGAAAGTGTGCAGGTCCCGAAGCGATGACAGATTCCACCTAATTACCTTCTAAGCAGAACGATGCACTGGAGTCTGCCTTTGTCCTTGGTATTGGCAATGTTGTGGTGCCAAAGGAGGTGAAAAATGGTCTTGGACTTATTCTGTAGACATTTTTTTCCAGCAGGTTAAACTTCTTCTGTTGTTGCATGAATTAAATCTGAGAGCGTGACAGGGAGCTGATCTTTAGCTTTTCATAAATCCCTGGGTGGCGATGGTCCCAGGAAGCTGGGGGACAACTGTGGATTCATGCAGAATGATGGGGACAGTTGGGAAGTTCTTGAAATCTGCAACTATGTCCATGATGAGCACTGAGCTCTACACCAGGTCATCTTCAAACTTCACGAGCTTTAGCATTCAGGAGCAGACTGGTGACCCTGCAGTTGTAAAGGTGCAGCTGTGTAGAGCAGAGGGTAGTGATGCATTACCTGCATCCCATTAATCATCTCCCAGCTAGCCAAACAAGGAAACTAGTTATTTTCAATTTAGTCAGTTACATGTGAGTTATGTGAAACAATTTTGTAGCATTAAGCAGGCATGCTTTAAATAAATACAAATGGACCCCAGAATTGGCACAGTGACAACTTATTCTGCTAATTTGTGCCTGACAACAATAAAGAGAATCATTATTATTATCATCATTAATCTTTATTATTTTTCTCATTAGTGCTGTAATATTTCAGTCACCTTCAACCCATCTGCTTTTAATCAAAATGGTAATGTTTAGATTCCCACCCACACATTAATTCTGGTGCTCACATCACTAGTAGAGAGGAAAGAACGCCACCTTAGGAGGAACCTGTGATGATCTGTGTTTTCCCAGCTTCATGTGCTCTGTGGTGTCAGGCACACTCAGCAGGGACAGCTTGTTATGCAGTGGAGCAGGATGATGGTAATTAAAAACTGAGCTGAACTCCACGGACAGGACCCTGGCGTGGATTCACCGGGTGAAGGTGCTGAACAATGAAGTGTAGGGTCACATTGTATTTTAATGGGTTGGTAGTCATCATGTCCCGTGGTCTCTGTTTTTTGTTTTGTTTTGTTTGTTTGTTCGGTTTGTTTGTTTGTTTTTTGGGGGGGGGAACAATTGTGCAGGCCTTGAAACAGGTTGACACATGAATTGTCTCTAGTAAGGTATAAAGACCTCTTTAAGTTGGATGGAGACATGGAGTCGGGCCCAGCTGCTTTGTGGGGGTTTGTCTCTTGAAGAGTCTGTTAACATCTCTCTCCAGGAAAAGATGTCTCTTTCTCTCCAGGAAAGAGACAAGCATGTGTTAGGGGAGGAGAGGACTGCTGTGTGGTAGGCAGCTGTGGAGAGGCCCACGACCTGTTTTAGTGGGAAAGGTAGAGCTGGTGGGCTAGCGCTGATGGATGGTTTAGAGGGGAACGTGTCAGGCACGTCCCATCATTCAGGTCTTCGGCTGGGTGCAAGCTGTTAGTGGAATGTGAGGCTTTAAGCTTGCAGCTTGTGATCTGTCTCAATTCTTTTCAGACAGAAGCAGAGTTTTGCCGATAATAGCCATTTAACTTCTTGCACAGCTGCACCATCTCAGCCCTCATCCTGAACACTTGTCTTGCAGACATAGAGTGTCGCTCTCCTGTTCTAAGCTTAGCCTGGTCCTATATCCAACCATATATTGCCAATGCTCCCCATAAGTGACCACTGTCAGTCAGCTGTTTGTTTAGTTAATAATTGCAAAAGATTTATTCGTAACAGGGAACAAATTTTAATAAACCCGAACTCTTGATCACTACAGTGAGGAGATCTAGTGGTGTGTGTGTTATGCTTTGGGAAATAGTCTTTTCCAGGATGGTAATACTTATACTTATCCAGGGAGTTTTGGGCCAACATGTTAATGAACATTCCCACGAACTGACACGCAAAAAGTCATTGTGGCTATTTACTTTTTTGTTGACACCGAGGACTGTTAATGTCCTAATGCTGTGAGTTATGTACGTCCAAATTGCTCATAGTTTTAAATTATGAATGACGGGATCGTTATCCAAAAACCATATATTGAAATGTGTTTGTTTGTTTCTCTAATACACTCCCAGAGACTTAAGAAATCAATTCTACGTGACTTCATATTGTTTTGTTTTTCTCTTTGGTTTAATAATCAGTCTAAGTGGAGACTATATTAATTGTGTGCTGGTTGTATTCAGAGGCTTGACTCTGTCAGTGCACCAATGTGACTTACAGATAATGGACTTGCACATGGATAAGATTAAAGGTATTTTGTAGGTAATTGAGCAAAGTAGCTGTCCTTCTAAACAGACTCAAGGTTGCCATATTTATTCAACAATGTTTGTCTTGGTCTTTGCATGTTTGTCTTTAGGAGTGTGACGCTGTAGGTGTCTCTTTATAAATGTAAAGATTTTACGTGTGCATGTATTTGTGTAGCCAAGTGCTGAAGTGTGTGGATCCCTCGGGAAATGTTTTTGCAGAGGAAGTTGGCTCATGATTAGTCAGCTTTTTTGTGGGGTGTTCATATCTGCGTGCGTTAGTCTGTGTGAATTCCCTTTCAGGTAGATACGTCCCAAAAAATGATAGGATTTTCAGCTGGACTCCGACACAACTGAGCAACAGCATTTATACAGAACAAAAGGATATTTTCTGTTAGACTCTAGTCTAGTGTGTTTTTGTTTGTGTTCTTTGAAGCTACACACTCACACACAAACACACACAACATCAATGTCATTTAGATCATCTTGCGCGCTGAATGGTGTTAATGCCGTTAGTGCAGCAGTTAATTTGCAGCTCAAATGAAGAAAAAGGAAAATTTGATTATTGTTGTGTTTGTGTAACTCTTGAAGACACAGAGTTTTGTTTGCGACAAATGCGATTAAAACCCACTATCTCCTTCTCTAGCTTTTTTGTTTGAAATGGAAAAGTCCAGCACACTCTTGAAACTTGATTAAAAGTAATAACAGATGTTCTGTTCCTTTCACTTGTCAGTAATGAGTGTTGTTGAGTGGATATCTGCCACCAAGGTTATCTGCCATTGAGCACAATAAAGCTTTAGAGGCGTAATCAGCGAGTTTCAGTTCACTGTGAGAAATTTTAAGTTACTCATTCCACGGAGGTGTCCTTGGCTTTGAATGCGTCTTTTTCATCTTTTGCAAAAAGAAAAGAATGAAGCAGATGATGTATTTCAGCTGCTGAAGGCAAATGTATGTTTTCTTCCATTTCATACGTAAATACTTACCTATGTTTATATGGTAAAGGCTTTTTGGGGGCTGGCAGGGTTATTAAAGTGCTGCACATCATTTGCATCAGTAGGAGTTAGATTTTATACAGTCCTGGGTTCAGTTTTTACGCATTAACCACATATATGTTTTACATATGAATATATATGATAAAAATTATTTTACCGGTGGATTAGAACCTGTTAAAAATCTCACCGAATGTGAAAGTCCTGAAATATGCAAACATACATGAATCAGAATCAGAATACTTTATTGATCCCTAGGGGAAATTATTTTTCATTACAGTGCTCCATTATAAACAAACATTAACAAAGACAGACAATACACTAACTAAGAATAGCACAAGATATACATGCAAATATATACATAAAAGTCACTTATTAATAAATAGCTGAAAAAGGAAGAGCATGTGCAAGAAGGGTGTAGCTGTTGCAGTAAACAGTGTGTTAGATGGAGGAGCTGTACAGGCAGGAATGATTTCCTGTGTCGTTCAGTGATGCTTTTCGGTACTCTCAGTCTCTCACTGAACGTGCTCCTGTGACTGACCAGCATGTCATGGAGTGGGTGGGAGGTGTTATCCAACATTGTCTTTATCTTGGACAACATCCGCCTCTCTGACACCACCTCCATCCCCACAACATTACTGGCCTTACAGATCAGTTTATCGAGTCTGTTGGCATTTGCGACCCTCAGCCTGCTCCCCCAGCATGCAACAGCATAGAGGATCGCACTGGCCACAACAGAATCATAGAAAAGCCAGAGCATTTTCTGGCAGATGTTGAAGGACCTCAGTCGCCTCAAAAAATAGAGACGACTCTGGCCCTTGCTGTAAAGTGCTGTGGTGTTTGTAGCCCAGTCCAGTTTATTGTCAATGTGTACTCCAAGGTATTTATAGTCCTCCACAACGATAGATACATTGTAGGATACATCATATAAGGTAACAACAGAGTTTGAACAGTTCTAATGAACTTTAAAGCTGAAATTTTGTATGACTACCCTAATTCTTCAACACAGCATGAACTCTCTTAGGCAGCTTTCATGTAATTTCTTTAAATTGTCTTAAGAATAGTTCTCCAGACCTCCTGAAGGGCCTTCACATTCCTTCAGTAATCTTGTGGTTCAGGCTCTTAGGATGATAATGTTCCACTGTGTGTGTGGTTTTGTTTTGTTTTCTGTTTTTTAAATCCTGCATGTTTTTCCTTCACTGGAACCATTTGGAATCCCTGTCATGCTGAAAAATGAAGCCACTGCTAATCAGATGCTTACCAGCTGGTATTGCATGGTAGATCAAAATCTGACCTTTTGTTTGTTTATAA